CTACGACTTCGATCACTCGCTACTAGAGCTTTCACTGGGACGAGCGCTGCTGTCAAAGTATCAACAAAAAGGCTCGATCCTCAATAAAGTTCCAAAATGTGCCGCAAATCTCGAATGCGTCATCTCGTGGCGCAGGCAAGTCATCTAAGATCGCATCGCGAGATGCCGTTCTTGTTTGTTTTACGATAAGCGGAGACTAAAATGCTAAGGGAGTTCGTGGCGCTTTCGACATCTGGCGATGACGGGGCAAAGTGGCCAGTGCACTTTGGAGGAATGGATCTTGTATTATGCTGTTCAGAAGGCTGAACGCTTGGGTGCAAGTACGACGTATGCATTGTCATGCATGCGGATAGGTAGGATCTTAGGCATTGCGAGGCATTTCTTGGCGAAGACTATGAGCATCTGATGGGGTCACTCACCAATACTTCAATCTTTGAGATTGTGTCCCTTACTGCTGCTGCTTGACCCCTCCCCAGCTGCCTCCCATATGCCGAAGCCCAAAAGTCTTCATCTGCATTCCAGGCATCAATCACCCTAAAGTACTCACTACCTAGGTACACCCGGTCATGAAGACTCATGGTTACTAGGAATACCCTTTAGTATTGCTAATGTATCGAAGCTATGCGCAACATGAGTACTTGGTTGCAACAGAGTATCTGTAGACTACCATGTCAGTCTAGGAAGTCATATGGACATGCGACAGCATACTCACGACACTGAGGAGAAGACCTCAATGGCACCAAGAGGCGCTCATCTCACGTATGTTCCTTGTACGCTGCTCTTAACTGACAGGATACGGCTACTCTCACGCCCAAATATCGTCCAACAAATTTGAGCCACAACAAATTGCAAAGGCTCTTAGGATCGTGCATCGACTCGGCCTATTCTAACCACACCTGGAACCAGGGAAGTAGACTGAAAGGGCACTGCTGAGATGAAGGTGAGTCACAGAAGCTTCTAGTAGCCCACGTAGTATCGTAACAATCAACAGTCCGTGCCCGTCGCGCTTTCCTAACGGTCTTTGACCCCGCAAATAGAGGCTAACAAGACAATTCACCTCACTTGCAACAGACAGGGTGACTTCCAGTTGCTATCTCACCGGCGATGACACGCCGGGGAGGCGGTAAGCCACCATATCACTGCGCGATCTGCGAGCAATCCTTCACCAGTAAAGCTGCTCTTCGCCAGCACACTGCCAATCACAGCGACATAAGCAACAAGAAGCTCATTTGCGCCACTTGTGGGTGGAATTTCGATGACTCCCACGCCCTAGAGCTTCATCGAATCCAGAGTAGCCACGGAGATCCACAGACAGCTCGCCCAAACCAGCGAAACGAAGGCTTGGAAGCCCTCACAGAAGAATCTGAAATGGCAATCACCTGCAATCGGTGCCAGAAGACCTTCACCAACCAGAAACAACACAATGCCCACCGCAGCAACGTCGCCTCTGACTGTGCCGATTGGAGGCACACTGCCCCAAAGCACTCCACCACATCTCCCGAAGCTGTCCGGGGTTATGTTGACCTGGACAGACCCAAAGACGGATCGCCAGTCGTACCCTTCTATGAGGACCCCAACGCATCATCATCATCAGAAGCTGATACTGTTGACAGCGACGACGGAGTAAAATGCCACGATTGCAAGCGTGTGTTCCACTCGAGAGGTCACTACAACAACCATATGCTAGGCTGCACGCCCATCTCGTCGTCCAAGAAGCACCGCCAAGTACTGGAAGCCACTAAACCAGTTAGCAATACACGGACAATCACAAACCACGTAAGAGCTAGTCCGCAGCAACGCCAGGCCCCTACAGCAGCACCCGCACCTTGCGCCCAATCTTCCTCGTCCACCTTGTCTGCTCCAATCAATGACTTGAATAGCTTCGCGTGCAATATCAAAGGCTGCGGTAGGGTATTTAGGTCGGAAGCTGGCCTTAATCAACACAAGACTGATGCCCATGGTATTGGTGGTCAGGCACTGAATGCGGTCGGTCGAGCCGTGAGGGAGCAGATGAGGCAAGAAGGCCTACTACTGCAACCTTGTTCTGCGTCATCTCGAGGTCGTGGTCAGCGAGGTCGCCCTGCCCCACGCGCGTCACCTTCCGCTCCTCGTGGTGCTCCTCCAGCGTCTCGTATGGCACCTCTAGCACCCCAAATGACACCTTCCAAACATCGTATGACGCAGCAAGTACCCTCGCAGCCCCTAACCTTCGCTCGTCCTATGCCAATACAACATCATATGCCACCTACTCAGCCAATCCAACTACCCAGCAGTACGATCATGAGCGGTGTTGCCGAGCTGGACCAAGCCAAACAAATCCAAGCGAAGATCCTGCGGCTTCTAATCCAGTCCGACGTCTTCATTCAACATGATGGTAAGATGAACGTCTGCGGGATTGACTGGACTCGTATTGGTGTCGCAAAACAGCATGAAGTCGTTGCCATGTTCGATATCATGTGCCATCTCCCGAGGATTCTACAAGGCGAATACGTACCGGCTCCAAAGGCCTTCAAGGACGACTACAACACCGAGTATCCGTTTAGCGACTTTGAGCCCTCTCCCGCTCGTAACCCATCAAAGCCTGCTTTGGATGTTGTCGCCATCTCATGCAGTAAAGTTGTGCTTAAGGGCAACTTTCAGGAGATTGTGAAAATCGCAGCTGTCGACCTTGCCACCTGCCGAATCCTCATGAATCACCTCGTCTGCACAGATCCGCACGCTGAAGTCTTGGATTGGCGCTCTGCGGTCACCGGCTTATTCAGCTGGAGGGATATGGAAGCAGCTCGAAAGTCTGGATACAAGGTCTTCAAGGGCTGGATGGCAGCACGGAACGCACTACACAAATTCATCGATAAGGAGACTATCGTGGTCGGCCACAATCTGCGCTCGGATCTCGATTCCCTGCGCATGGTCCACGGACGTGCTGTTGATATCGCCAAGGTCGTTGAGAAAGCTGCTCGGGGTCCGCTCAGTAAGGCGCAGCTAGCATTGGATAGTCTGTGCAAGACTTATTCTGAGATCAGTCTTAGGAGTGACCCAGAATATGGTCGGGATAGCCTCATGAACGCCTTTGCAGTACGTGAGTTTGGTCTGTGGGCACTCAAAAACAGGGAGCAGCTCGCCCGGATTGCTAAACAGAAGAGTCTGGACTACCAGGCCACCATGCCAAGAGTTGCTGTTGTGGGAGCTTGATGAGGTCCGCAAATGCGAAGAAGGATAAACAGGATTACGATAACGAAAGCAACGAACTAAACACACATACCTACCGATTGATATGAATTGTGACCTGTGATCTAGCTCTTCTGCTGCTCTTCCTGTTCCTTCTCCACAACATCAACCACGAAAGCACCACCCAGCAATATCGCTGGTTCCTCGAGATTATGATGTTCATAACTCAGTGTTCCCACACCACCCGCCTCTAGAATCAAACTAGGATTCTCCTCCAACTTCTTGCCCACCCACCTAGCCGCAAAAGCTCTCAGAATATGACCATGCGCCACAATCAACACATCATTAGGTTTTCCATCTTTGCCAAATCTGCCCTTGTGGTACTTCTCCCTCAACTCCTTGATCAGCTTATCCAGCCTCTCTGTGACATCCTCCGGGCTCTCGCCGTCCTCGCAACCGTCCTTCCAGATATCCCAGTCTGCGCCTAACCCGCGGCTTTCACGATCTTTCTTGATTTCCGAAGTGACGCGGCCTTCGTAGGCGCCGTAGTCCCACTCTCTGACTGCCTCTGTTACTTCTATTTTGGCGTTGGTGCGGATATCTGGTGTGTGCGGTTTGGACGAGTCGTGCCAGGGATAGCGTTCTTTGCAGCCTAGGTTGAGGAGCTCAAGAGTGCGTTGGGCGCGTGTGCGGGGAGAAACGTAGCTGTTGGGTATCAATATCAGTCGTGGAGTCTTCATTCTTTTTTTTTTTTTAAAAGAAGATTTCTTGCTGGAATCGAGAACGTACATGTGTGCTAGGTTACTTGGTACAATCAATCTGTCGTCGCCTACAAGCGCTTTGCCTGTGGATTTTACACGCTTCTCGCCGTTTCCTGTAAGCGGTATGTCCGAGACTCCTGTGTGGCGTCCGTTGAGTGACCATTCTGTTTCGCCGTGGCGGATTATGAAGACTCGTGGGTCGGGCATTATGTTTATCAAGAGACTTGCTATCGCAGTTACTAGGAAAGGAAGATGGGAACAACGCGAGGTGACGCGAAGTGATCGGGTCAATCGACGGTTCAGAGATGATGCGCGTTTAGAAGAAGATATTGAGAGAGGTTTGAAGAAGATAAACCACAGGGAAAGTGTTTGTTCAAGTATGCGCGACAGGTGCGCGGCAGCTAGCGGAGCTCAATCCGTATGTATGACGTTCGTATGGGAATTGATTAGCATGGTGGGGCGTGCCAGGGACGTGTTCAAGCTACCCCACCATGTCCGCTTTGTGCGCCTTGTCATGCTTCGACGCGCAAAGTAAGCCTTGGTAATCACCTTGTTCGGGAAACATGGGTGAGAGATCAGGTTCGTGAAACACCGAGTGCCATCATCTATGCGGAGGAAAGGAGCAATTGTTGCTACAGTAGAAGCAGAGCGCAAAGTGTCTGAACTGACAATGAAACCAGTCTGAAGATGCCCGGGCAGATATAGATGCTTGAGTTTACACGATGCTCGTTGAACTAAGTGTGCGAAAACTACCCATATTACTCTTCCTCTACAGGGCTTTCCTCCAAAAGGCTGTCGTCTGCTACACACTGGGAGTACCATTCTACCGAAGATCAGCTTCATAACATAGGACGTGGGTCTTATCAATGTCCACATACCATTCTGAACCACACAGGTTGCTCCCTTGACACATACTGTGCAACCTGCCCAAGGAACACCACCATCCCAGCCTCCACATTTGTAGTAGAGAGGAACAGGGCATCTAGTGCTGCTCGGGCCAACCTCCTCAGTAGTGGTCTTGGTGGGCTTCACCGTCGATTTTGTCGTCGTTTTGATAGTGGTCTAATTATGTTAGAAGAAGTCAAGAACAAGATCATGTCGAATCAGTATGTGACTAGCCTTTGTCGGAGTTGGAGTTGTCTCTGGCTTCTTGCTTGATTTGGGTGGCTCTGGCTTCTTCGTTGTGGTCGGCTCCGGCTTCGTGCTTGTCTTGGGCGGTTCAGGCTTCTTGCTGGTTGTAGTTGTGATCTTGCTTGTTGTTGGCTCTGGAACACCCGGCGTAGTGCGGCTGATGTTGTCGGTGCATCCGCCCTTGGTACAAGTTATGATGTAGGTCTGGCGTGGTTCGAGGGCGACATGGTTGTTGGCCGGCGCCTGTTGGTAAATCAGTACAAGATGTCTGGCTTGACGGCAAGATACATACTGCAAGACACACTGTCGAGAGGCTTGTCGCTAGAAGCGCGAGTACAGTAAGCTGCATGGTGATGGGTAGATAATAATGCTTCAGTGAATGGAAATGCTGAGCTAGCCGTGGAATTCGGCCTCATGGGCCATGGAAAGCATCTTATAGCCACAGACCTTTGCTGCTAGTCTAAGGAAGTCACCACCAGGCTCAACAATTGCTTCATGGCTACAGTTCTAGATACCCGCGGCTCCAGTGTGGACAGCAGTCTAACTGGGGCCAAGGTAAAATACGAGGCCATCTCAATCTGCTTGTGCATTCGCCTATATTGTGGCTAGCGAGTTTGTGTGCCATAGTGATGGTACAGGCAATGTAGAGCCTACCGAGAGCTTGTATAGTCAGTCAGTCAGAGAAGGCAAGGCACTCAGAACGACACATTTGGCGAAGGCTGGCAAGATGAAAAACAGGTTCACCTGGGTATACGCCCGTGTTTGGTGTTGTGTATTGTAAACTGCTCCTCGGATAAGGCTGCCCACGATGCGCGGCTATACCCATATTTCGACTGAACCTGGTCTTGGCCACGAGTTGAAGCTCGGTTGCGTTCCGAGAAGGTTCGCGACCGATTTTGATACTATTCTTGTTCACGACGACTCTTATAGACGGGGATGTGTTTTAGCCGCAAATTGATACCCAGTCGACCCTTGTCCGACCACTAGACTCAGATGCCACTCAAGCTGACCATGACTTGTGCGACTTTCCAGATCGCGCAAGCTTAGATTGTTCGATACAAGCAGTGAGACTGGTAGTCGGAACAGGTTACGAGGAATCCGAGTGACGCCGCGGATGATCGCGGCATCGTACCGTGACCCGGGGGCAGGTGAATGTAAGGCAAGCAAGCGATGCATTACACACTGGGCCAGACCGTGGGTATACACTGTTTAAGCTTGTTCTAGGCAAATGACATTAGCAGTGCGCTTACACGCACATCGGTGAGGATGAATGGTGGTCCGTGTCCAGGGCAAAAGGGTCTTGTCCAAATCATTCACTGCCTGCCCCATTCTGCTGAAGGGTACCATTGCCCAGAAGGTCACCAACGCCAATCCATTTCCTGACAAGGAAAGCACCCTGCGGCCTCAGCTTTCTATAATAACCCTCTTCTTTCTCGAGTATCTCAAAGTTCCGCTTCTTGTACCACTCCATGCCTTCCTCGTTGACTTCCCACACGTGCGCCGTGACACAGCGCACACCATGAAGCTCGACGGCCTTCTTCACTACAGCCTGTAGAAGATGCATGGCAATGCCGTGGGTGCGGTAGGGAGCCAGGACACCGATGGTAGAAATGTATAATTGCGAGGAAGGTAGTATGCGACATCGAACGGCACCAACGAGGTTTGGCTTCTCTGCAGGCGATGTCGAATTGGCATTGGTAGGCGAAGAGTGCCACACTGCCACAAGGGTAATGCCATGGTGTGGCTCCGTCATAGTCTCTTTGTAGAAGGTCTCCGGATAGGATATAGGGAGAGTGAGGGTGTTTAAGCGCTTGAATGATGGCAGCAAGTCTTCGGTAAGGGGTACGAGTTGGACGTTGGGCGGCAGAGGACGCAGGGCGAAGAGGTGTGGAATGGCGGGTTGCTGAGGGGAGAGGGAAATGGGCGAAGGTATGCGCGAGATGGCAGGCGTGACTGCTCGAGACGGACGAGGGCTTTTCTTGGACCGCGGTCTTGAGGGGGCTTGGAGGAAGTCGTCGGGTATGTCATTCCAGTTCTCCATTGCTGAGGGCGTAGGCGTTGTGTTGGAGGGCACGCGCGTAGGCGCTGAAACTGACTTTGGGGGAGGTGGTGGTCGGTTCGTCCTTGGCGACACAATTGGAGGAGCATTTGGGAGTTGTCCAGGTTGGCTGTCCTGACTTGGCTTCTTCAGCCAATTGTTCAGTGAAGACTGCATCGCGAGAGGAGGGGGGTCGAGTGGGTTGTTGTGACGTAGGCAGTTTGGAATGATGATAATCTATTGGTGTGACTGTGAGACCAACGAGTCGCTCGGCTTTTGTCCTCGCGATAGTCTGTGAATTGCCAAGCAGAGTTGTTTACGCTGGACAAACACAAACCCGAGGGTAAACTTTCTGGTACTGACGCGCCTCGAGATGGTTTACAGGGATGGTTCTTAGCGTGCTTTCGTCGGCCAAGCCGTCAGCTCCGACTTCCTCGCAGGAAACAGCATCATCGCCCTAAATATCCCCAGTCCCACCACCGCAACCATGGGCGCCGAGAACTCGAAACCCTCGTCAGAGGTCAAGCAGCATGTCTTCTCCTCGTACGTCACAATCCCCGCCGTCAATGGCTCTAGCCCCTCCCACGAGATGCAGCGAGCAAGTGACGTCGTGTGCTGATAATTTGCGCGCAGAGATCACCCCTACAGCTTCTCCAACGAACTCGTCGGATCGCTGCAGAAGAACACTTTCGTAGGTTCCATGGCTCACATAGGCGAATTGCGGCTAACAGGGCGTAGACAGACTCGGCGCGATCAAGACAGCAGGAACTCCAATACCAGGAACGCCTAACCGCCGAGCTCGAGAAGCTGCGCGAGCAAGAGACGCAGAACTTCTCCAAGTTCAGCGAAACCCTCTCCGGAGAGAGCCAACAGTCGGATGAGCCCTCCCTGGTCGAGAAGATCCAAGATGCGACATCCAGCAGTTCAACCCTCGCCGAGAAGCAACGACAAAAGGACTTGAGCAGGGACAGTGTCACCAAGGAGATTGAGCAGCTCAAGGCCAAGTTGGAGCAGAGGAAGAAGCTGGAACAGGCCGATGCCGACGTCACAAAGGCAAAGGAGGCTGTCGTCTCATGTCTGAGGACCCACGACCGACGACCGCTGGATTGCTGGAAAGAGGTCGAGACCTTCAAGCACGAGGTCGGCCGGCTGGAGAAGGAGTTTGTACAAAAGACCATCCGATGAGTTATGCCGAGCAATCGACCTTTTGGGGCTGGGGGGAAGGCGCCCTTGTATAGTTGGGTTTGGTAGGATATAGCATCCTGCGGCATTTCTTATCTTCAAATCCTTACTTTGTCTATTGCCGTGCCTTGCGCCTTGCTACGCACACCGCAACTATACCAATCACTTGGAACTGGACGGGGTACTCTTACCGCCTTGCTCCTGCCACCACAAGCCACGTCTATTTCTACCGACTACTCCTCACCTCTTTCTCCCTCAGCACCTGTCTTACGCGCCTAATTTTGCAGTTTTTGCTTAATACTACTGCTTCACCACTGATCTGTAATGGCTGTCTTACTCACCTTCACCACGCGTCTCAATGTGGGAACACGTTTAGGCGCCTAATCGTCGCAGTAACTTCGCGTCCTCATCTCGCAAATCCCTTCTCACACAACCTCACACTCTACAGGTCTTCTTCCCTACTGGTCAATTTCCAGACAGCTGATTTATAGAATTGTCTGCATCATGTCCTACCGCCTTGGGAACACCGTCGATGACGATGAGAGTTGGGATGATAATGATAGTGATATCGAGCTCCTCAACTACTACTCAGACACCGAGTCCGACTATGAGATTGTCACGAACAACGCCACTCCACCTCATGCCGCCTCTAGAAATCGACAGAGAACAACACATAAGTTTACATCCCACGATAACATTCATCTCCCGGATATCGCAATACAGAGATTCAAGATAGCCAAGGGCATCATCGTTAGACCTGGTGACACGGTAGAGCTCAGGGACCATTCAGAACAAGAACCAGAAGCTATGCACAGCGGCGACTTCCTCCGCATCAAGACCATCATTATGAACATGCAGACAGATGAAGTCCGACTGAGAGGCTATCGACTGCGGCGCACTAAATACCTAGGCCAGATTTTTGACTGTAAGTGCAATTAATAGAGGATTAGACTCCTACTGACCTGATAGGGAAACTCAACGAACTTGGAATGGTGCTACACGTCGATGAAGATGATAGCCGTTCGCCTCTTGTCGCCGGCATGGAAGATGTGAAGATTGAAGAGGTGGTCCGTTTACGCGAATGCACACTCACGAACAAGCCTTACCCGTTTATGAGCTTCCGAACCGACGGCAATACTGCGTACCCAAGTGGTATGAGTGATTCCGAAATTAAGCGGGAGATCTTCCACGAGAGTCGGCTAACATGTCGTGTTGTCAACGTACTCTACATCAGCAGAGGCCGAAACAAGCCTTATGGTGGCATCGTGCGTCATCTATACACCCACGAGGCCGATAAGTCTGAAGACTGCATCCCAGATCCTGGCTACTCGCGCAAGACACCCATCTCCGTGGAAAGCGACATAGAAGACGACGACTGCGTTCTTGTTAGCAGGAAGCGACGTACCCGTGACGACTCTCCTGACTTTGAGATACTCGAAGAAAAACACCCAAAGCGCAAGGGAAATCCGCTGAAGCAAGGTCGGCTAACATTTGGGGATGTGTTCTGCGGAGCTGGAGGTGCGTCCCAAGGCGCTGCCCAGGCGGGCTATTATGTCCAGTGGGGACTTGACAATGATGAACGCGCACTGAAGTCATACAGCCTTAATCATCCTAGTGCGTATGCATTAAAGATGAATGCTCACAACTTCCCGCCAGATGGTATTAGCAAAGAAAATTGGAAGGTTGATGTCCTTCATTTGTCGCCCCCGTGTTGCTACTGGAGCCCTGCGCATACCACTGACGGCCCTAACGATCAAGCCAACTACGAAGCAATATACACTGTCGGTCCTATCCTAAAGAAGGTGAAGCCTCTGGTTGCAACCCTCGAGCAGACATTTGGCCTCGCCACTCACGAGCAGCACAAGCGCAACTTTCTCATGCTACTATATGACATCGGCCAGGCCGGATATGATGTCCGCTATAAAGTCCAGGATCTATCGCAATACGGTCTTGTGCAAAAACGGAAACGTCTGCTGATCATTGCTGCAAGACGAGGAACACCTTTGCCTCCATTCCCGAGGCCCAGCCATGGCCCTCCAGGAAGTGGCCTCAAGCCTTTTGTGTACATCAACGAAGCTCTCGCGCATATCACTCGCCAGGGACCACGCGCTATGAACGACCCATACCAC